TGGTGCCCCAGCTAACTCTTGAGTACGAAGCACTAAACTAACTCAGTGTCATCAGGAGCAGAATCTCATCCCTCCATTATGTTTATGTTACACCTGCTGCAGCTGTATGTCCTATTGAAAAAGGACCAAACACGAAAACAAACTGAAAAAGCAAGGTGTAAAACTCCCTTTGCTTCCCAGCTCACTCAGGCTGTTTGCTTGAAGGTTTAGCAACACATTTATAATCAAGAGAAAATTCTGTTTGAACTAGTGGAGGATTATGGCTACTGTTTTCAAAAAGGGTTTTTTTCTTTTTACAGCTGGACTGAAATCTAACAGGGCTGTTATCACATTTGTTACTTCCAATATAACTGCAGGAATTTTTCCTCTAACGTTGCTCTTAAAATATTAAGTGTAGAGTTTGTAGTTCTCAACTTTCATAGAGTTAAAAGGACAGAACTCCAAGTTCCAGCTTTTTTTTGGTGCAGCAGGGGAGCAGCCAAGAGAGCAAAACACTGGCAATTACAAAACAGAGCCTGCATTAAGTTTAAGGAAAAAAAGAGCAATCGTGGCATAAGCAGAATAAACAGCAAAGGTGGTAAGAAGGCACAGAAATATCATACCCAATGGTGTGTTAAGGCAGACACACTGCAGATCAAACCAGAAGTTCTCCACGTCCTGCATGGTGTTGAGGACATATAAACGTCTCTCAAACGGGCGGCTGCTCTGAGCCAAGTTATAGTGGGGGTCACAGATTGTGGTATCAACAATCACAGCGTTTCTCTTCATATACACAAACACCTGGTAAATACAGTGTGTTTCAGGCTGATGGAGATCAGTGAAATAGCATAACTTACAGAACACAGCTTTTAATACAGTATAGGAATTAGGGATGAACCAGAATTATCTCAGCCTTTGCTGTTTCGAGCCAATACTCCAATACTGTTTAAAGACACCAATGTCCACTGTATTGCATTCTATTTCCAAACCTCCTTTACTAATGATCCAGGAATTTCTCTGGCAGACTTAGAATGATTTCTTTTCCCCCTTGTGCATGGGACTATTCCAGGTTTCCACAGAGAGTGACTACTTCCCACGACCTCTCATTTGGAGGTGTATTTATCTATCTTATAAAATGTACATAGGGACTGCCTCTGCCTTTGCACGTGCTCTTTATTTACAAAAAAGATGCTCACGAATGTTCTTATTTTATTATGATAAAGGACTTTATTCTGTGTGTCAGGCATCCAACACCTTAATGAACAAGAATGTGGCACGCTCATTTCTCATAAAATGCTGCCAGTCTGCAAACTGCCAAGCCATTATTTACTGCAACTTTCAGCATTATATATCTGAACAGTATCTTTCCAAAGAAAGTCAAAACAGCCAGAGAAGAAGCAACCTAAAATACGTTGAACTGAAGGTCTGCATGTATGTCTGAAACGTCAGTAGGTATCTACAATCCCCCAAATCTCGTTCCATTGAGCCAATATCATTAATGGTTAAATTTTCAGAAGATTACCTGATCTTTCTCTTGAAACTTCTCTGTTGGGCCAAACTGTATCAGCCCCATATAACACAACCGTTGAAGGTTTTCTACCACTGAAAAGATGTACCTCCTGCAGCAACATTAGAAGCATTGCAATTAGCATTCATGAAGACAGAAACGATACCAGAAAACATGCAATTTTCAGACAGCAACCTCAAGTTTCAGGAGAGCAGCTGCTTTTCTGAAACACCAGGTTTTAGAGTTTCTGAAGCTGTATTTTCTCTGAGTTGTCAGTTCACAGAAAACTTGGAAAGCAGAAAGGTTACAGTTACAGGCCTTAGCTGAAGACAAGTTGATACTATCCAACACTATTCACTCCCAGGTGAATGCCTGCAGATTTGGAAACATTGCACAAGTCTCCCACCATCCCAATCCATGCCTTTGGCCATGATTTCCTCAGGAAACTGATGTTTGCAACCTTAATGATTCTGTGTGATTCTGATTTTGTGTTAACAAATATGCATTGAAACTAACAGCGCTATTAATTCCATGTACCTAAATGAGTTTCCTTTAATGCTGCTTCCCCTTTACATCTGCAAGCTCACCTCTATTTCTGAACCTTCTAGATGAGGAATGGCAAACAATGGCAGACATGCCAGTCAGAGCACATGAGCAGAAACTGAATGCTACCTACGAGAGGCATGAGCTAAGTAATGTGGCACCTTTTAAAAGATTTATGAAGGACAGCATCGTTTAGACTCTATTAAATTTTGAATTTCACAGCAGTGAGGAGTGTGTTTTGAACAGAAATAACATCCTGCTGATGAGTTATGAAGGACAGTGCCTCCCAGTTCTCAAACACTGCCTGACAGCATGCATGAATGCCATTTATTAGTTTCTTATTACCTTCCATTTGGGAGAGAAAAATAGTTTGGCACGCTACCCTTAGAAGATTGATGATCCTTGTCTTGGGTAACAAAGTTCTCTTTGACACAAACAGGAAATAACTGAGAAAACTGTCAACCACTTGTTTCCTCCCTAGAGGCATTTTCTTTGACTCCCCTGCTCACCTTTTGTAGAGAAGCTGCTGTCGGACTGACCTTGGCAGAAATCTGATCAGTGTGTGCTTTTTTACTGGATCATTTAAAAAGTCTTCCAGACCATCAACCTAAAATTATTTGTTAGTTAATCAAAATACGAAATATAATTGCATTTTAAAGTATCAAGCTTTGATATCATCAGAGCTGTTGATTCAAATATTTTTTACACAAAGGTTACTGCTTTTGTGAAATGGTTAAACGTGATCCATGCGAGTCTATCAGATGGGAGATTCAGGTCACAGAAAGCTCTGTGTAAAATACAAGTTTCAGGATGTGCAGTGTTACACAGCTATACGTATTTCTCACACAGCTGTTTGAACAGCTAGCTTTTTTGGAAAAGAGACTATCAAGAATTGAAATCTCTACTTTCCACTGCCTAGTTTTGTTACACAGCCAAGACAATACCTGTTACTGCTCATAGGAACAGCTGAATTGTCAGACTTGAAATGAAACCAATTATGAAAGAACAAAACAATAAAGCACTATACCTTGTAGCTCACTTGCACTATCTGAACAAAGAGTGAGAGAGGCAAGCAGAGAAGAATGTCACTGACAAGAGCCCATCCAAATCCAAACTCTCTGTGAACTGGCAGGGGAGGGACGTAGCGCATCCATGACGTGTCATCCACATACACTGGGAACGAGACAACTGGCTTAGATTCAGAGAGCATGAACACAATTCTTACTGGAATTGGAACTGGAAATTTTATTGGTAGAAATCTTTTGGCAGTTCATTGTTTAGTTATCTGAAAATTACCTACTTCATGGACTTTTTCATCCTTTTTTGAAGTGGACTTTTATATTTTTCAGTGCTGGGAAGGACTCTTGAAAAGCATATTTAAGCCTATTAACAGTAAGTCTGCTCTTGTTTCTTTGCTTACAGACACTTCAGAGGATGCCTGAAAGCTGCTAGTACAATAAATTCCCAATATAATCTGTTCCAATGCTTAACTATCCTGTAATTATATTAAAAACCTAAATATCCCATCCAATTCTTATTCTTCTCTAGTAGTATGAAGAACAGTTTATCAACCAACTCCAATACCTGTTTTCCCTTTAGAAGGCATGCATCCTGCATGACAGTTTCTTTTTATACGAGAAACAAAAGGTGGCAACATACTGCACATTAGTATAAGCACAAATGATGCAACTGTGGCCTCAGTGTGGACCTAATAAAACAAAATCTAAACTATTTCTCCAAATTAATACAATTTGGAATTCAAAACCTGCAAGTTAGAAATAGCAAACCTTCCAGCTTGTTGTCATCCATAATTTCAGCCTATTTTATTTTGTTATGTAAGTCATTAAGAAATAAAGTAGAGCTCTTGCATGATATCCTTTTCAACTTGAGAACAAGTCATTAATCTCTCTCAGTACTTTTCCCAAGCGATTGTGTTCCTACCTTCATGTGTTGCCACTGAAATCATATTGCCAAATGGTTATGGAAATACTCCACTGAACCTTGACAAAGCCACAAGGTAGGCCACTTCTTACCCGTTTGATTAGACAATTCTACTTCTGAGTCCTGTGCAGCAATTTCAGGATTTGTCCCAGTCTTCATGATTTGCACGATTCCATCTGCCTGGGCTTCATTCACACTCGGCCTTTGTTTGCTGCCTTTTTTCTTACCATCACCATTTCTTTTTCGGTCTGTTCCATTTAAAGGATGTCCATAAATTAAGTACCAGAGGAACATGTGGACTATTCTTAAACGGGGCATTTTGGGAAGAAAGCCAAGAAAACGCCCGAGTCCTGGAACTGAGAGGAAAGATCAAGTACCAGAAGAATTAAAAAGTGAATTAAAACAGGAGAAATAGCTATTCCTGCAAAACTGATGTGAGGACAACTAGAAGGCAATGGGGGAAATCAAAGGCATCTCTATAAGAGAAAGAAAAAACCCAACCACTTCTATCTTAGGAGAGTCCAACATCTGAATCGGATTAATAACAACTAGAAAAGTGAAAGATGAGAGCAAACAAAGTTTGCTGTACCTGTAACAGGGTGATAGTTCTTTAGTTGTGTTATGCCCATTTTTTCATCGGTTTTCTCTGCACGACTATTATTTTCATCTTTACATGAGCTCTCTTGTGCATCTCCTGACTCAGGAAATGCCTCTTGCCCCAGGTTTTCTTCTTCACCGTGGTCCTGGGATGATGGTGTCTGGGGAACTTTAACCCTGCATTAAAACCATACAGCACTTTGTTAAAACTTAGGTAAGATATGATTGTCTGCTTCAGTTGGAGAGAGATGGCATCACTGCAGCACGTAATTAAAAGAAATGCAAGTTTCTTTGCAAAAGGAAGGTCTTGAACACTTACACTGGATAAGAACACTTTGATAGAAAAAGAGGTCCTTTTATGGGCTTATTTGAAAAGATAAACTGGGTGGTGTAATTTAACATGCACAACACTCTGCTCTCTTGATATGAAATTTCTTTTTTTATTTTAATCTTTTCAGACAAAAGGTAAAGGTGATTTTCATTTGAGAATGCATCAACAGATCCTAAATAATGGACTGGAATATCGATTTAGAGAATTAGCCTCCTTATGAGGCTACCCAGTTGGAGTGGAAATGCTAAATCATGGCTTGAAGCAGTGATTGAGCACCTGGTGGGAAGGCAGGGCCAAGGGAGCTCAGGTGCATTGAGTGCTCTGATTGATCAGAAGGGCTGGAGCCAGGACCCATGCCTTCCCAGCCCTCATTTAAGGGTTGGCAGTGGAGGTGATGGTCTCTCACTGGAGATCTCTACATACCTGAGGCCTTGCAAAGGTAATTTTCTTCTTCTGTTTCTGCATCTATGGGTATATTCTGTATTTGGGCTTATTCTCATTTGGAGCAGCCTGTACTTTGCCACTCTGCCACTACTGCTGTTTTCCATCACATCATAGCATTACGAGAGTCATATTCCTTCTTTTATGCTTTGTGTCCAAAGTCATGAATATTTTCTCCTCTCTGCCTAAATCCCAAATGAAATAGAGTGGGAATTTCTTTCTCACTGATCTCTACATTTCCCATATTTCTCTGTCTGTTGTTGCAGCGAGCTCTAAGTTTCCTCTAAATACTGCACCAAGATTATAGGCCTAACTTAGGTCCCAGATCCACTATTAACCATACAGTTAAGAAGCTTAGTGTTGCCCATAGGAAAGCCCCGTCCTCTGTGAAGGGCAAAATTCTGTGCATGATAGCATGCCAAACAAGCCTCTCTGAAATGTAAGCAAAATGAGAACGGAGAAGCCAAGAACTTGAAGCTAGGACAAGGGATTAGTGTTTAGTTCCTCTTGTTGCCTTTGTCTTTGGGTGATATTCAGCACCTTGCTTCGTCTCTGTGCTTTCATTTCTCTATTATTAAAGAGAAAGCTAATAGTTCTTTTGCTTAATTTGTATTTATTCCCTCTTTATGTTTTTGGAAGCACCAGTTGTAATAAGCCAGTTTCTCCAAAAACCATACAAACCATCAGTGAAACTTGCCTGCTTGCTGTGCTTGAATTAGAGATCCGGAAACGCACCTGCTCAATGGCACTTCTTACAAGTGGGTCACTAGGACTCACTGAAGGATGAACAACAAACTCTACCTGTTCAAAGAAGAAAACAAGTAAGAGATATTTATGGAGATGTTAGCTTTTCTATGATTCAACTCAGAAGCTTGCTTAAAGTTTCTCATACACTCTTTGTTGTCAAAATGAGATTAAATATAATTGTGCTGTAACCTGACAGTGCAGGGAGAGAAGCAACAGAACCACTCAGAAAGGAAATGCGGGGACACTGATCTAGGGACTCATCGTGATTCACTGCAGTACAATAATTGAAAGTAACCAGTAATCTGTTTTCACAACAGCTTAGTTTGGGACTAAGCTGCCCAAAAGGGCAGCTCGCTTCTTGGTTCTTCTACAAAACGTAAAGTTCTCCTTGTATATCAGACAAAAAGGACCAAAATGGAAAATAAAAAAGTTATGAGAAAAGCTGCTTCTGTCACCAGGATTTAAGCAGTCACCTTTTTACTAATGCCATCCTGAATGACTGTGGTACGATAGATTCGGAGGAGTCCTTCTTGTGAAAGCTTCTGTACCAACCGGATGATGGATTTCTTACAGCATTTAGTGGAGACACCTTCTTGCTTCTCTTGATCCATGACCATTTTCTGAAGCCTACAAGATACAAAAAACGCAGCACTTTAAGCTGAGAAATACTACAAACTGCCTAGGCAGTTTGCTAGAACTCAGCCTTAATCTGTATTTTCTCTGTTATTAAGCTTATCCTTTTAGATAAACGATGCTATTCTATGCCAGGCTGGATGTGGCTCTGGGCAGCCTGGTCTGGTGGTTGGCAACCCTGCACATAGCAGGGGGTTGAAATAAGATGATCATTGCGGTCCTTTTCAACCCAGGCCATTCTATGATTCTTATGACAATGCTGTTCTTATGTGAGCCCAGGCACTGGCATACTATGAAAGGAGAAAAAACTGTTAATCTCTAGAATAGTTCCAATCGATCTCAATACAGATTCCTGTTGTATTTATGTGACATACAGCATTTAAAATTTTGCTTGTTTAATGATCTGCAAAGCAGATCCCCTATATTCTTCCCCTATATTCAGCACTGGTGAGGCCGCACCTCGAGTACTGTGTCCAGTTTTGGGCCCCTCACTGCAAGAAAGATATTGAGGCCCTGGAACGTGTTCAAAGGAGGGCAACCAAGCTGGTGAGGGGTCTGGAACACAGGCCATATGAGGAGAGGCTGAAGGAGCTGGGAATGTTCAGCCTGGAGAAGAGGAGGCTCAGGGGAGACCTCATTGCTCTCTATAACTTCCTGAAGGGAGGCTGTAGTGAGCTGGGGGTCGGCCTCTTCTCTCGTGTCATCAGTGATAGGACCAGGGGGAATGGCTTCAAGCTATGGCAGGGGAGATTCAGGCTGGACATGAGGAAGTATTACTGTTCATAAAGGGTGGTCAGGCAGTGGAATGGATGCCCAGGGAGGTGGTGGAGTCACCGAGCCTGGGGGTGTTCAAGGAAAGGCTGGATGTTGTGTTGAGGGACATGGTTTAGTGGGAGCTATTAGGAATAGGTGAACGGTTGGACTGGATGATCTTTTAGGTCTTTTCCAACCTTGGTGATTCTATGATTCTATGAAAGCACTATTATTGATTCTAAACAGCTGCCTAATTTTTAAGGTTCGGTTTAATTCTAACCTTCCCCCTCTTCCCCGTTGCAGTGTCTGCACCCTTACTGTATATTTCACTATTAGGTAGCAGAAAAGCCAACAAGAGAAAAGGCACACGGGACTGTTTGTGCTACCACAGCCCAGCAGGCCCCAAGCACGCTGCTCTCCATCGCTCACGTGAACAAGCTTTCAATCAGCCGCAGGTTTCGCACAGCTTCCACGATGAGATTTCGGCGCTTCAGCAGCCTGTATGTTTCACGAGATCGCTCAGCTGCTGCAGCCCTGGAACGCTTTTCCTTCTTCTGGTCACACATCTTCCAGTGCACAGCATGGGCACAAAAATATTTCACGTAAGCTCTTAGTTGTTTCATCATATAGTAGCATCTCAGCCATTCGGGGTTTGATGGATTTATTTGAGATTGGATTTATTTTAAAAAAGTCAGTTGGGGGATTATCTTTTATTTCCCCTTCACAAGTATGGAGCTAAAGCAGAAAATAAGACTTCCATGCACTTAGATTCACTTTGTCTGCCTATTCTGAGCCAAGCTAATTTGAAAGTTTTGTTTACCTAGAGAGCTGGTAATTGCACTGACATAGTGCTGAGTCAAAGCCAACATATCCTGTCCCTCAAAAAGGTTTCTTGTCTCATGCTCTTGCTCAGCTGTAAGGCTGTACAGCACCTGTGCTGAAGCCCACATGTTCCTCCTTTAGAGGAGACAAACCAGATAATCTGTGCTACCTGTGTGCACCAGCAGACATTAGGCAATAAGACACATCAAGTCAAATGGGGAATCTGTAGAAACCCAGGGAACTAACCCAGAATGGTATTTTAGACATCTCCCTATCTGCTGGAGTAGTTTTCTTTCATAATTAACTATAATGCAAGGAAGATACAAATATGCTTTAAAATGAAATTTTAAAAGATAATAAGATCTCAGGATCTGTAGAAGAAATCCTATAAACTAATTAAAAAATAACATATAGCTGGTAGTCTTGTGAACATGCAGGACTTTGCTTAGACAGCCATACTAAAAGGAGAACATTAAGACCTGTGATCTTACCTTAGGATCTTCAAGTCTGACCTCCTCAATCACAGCCACATCTCCATCTTCATCAGTGATAGGAGGACAAGTAGAAAGACTGGACTCCTGCTTTACAGTTTCCAGAGTAGAACTCTCCCCTGAAAAGTTGTCTGGGACTTCATCAGGTTCTTCAAGAATTGGAGGGGAAGGCAGCTTCTTCCCTACGGACTTCACAGCTGCTGGCTTCGAGCCTGGTTTAAAAGCAGTCTTGTTATGCTGTCAGTTTCCTCTAAATGTTCAGCTCTCTATAAAAGGCCTTCCCCATTCACACGGGTAACTGTACTTAAACATTCTGCAACATTTTTCATATGCTGTTCTACTCTGCTGAAAGCTGTGGTTTGACTGTGAATGACTGCAATTCAGTGTACAAAGCTGTACAAAAGTTGTTTCTTTTTTTCAAAAAGTGAACTCTGAAAGTGTGGTCTTCAAATAATTCTCTCCACATAGGGGAGGCCACAAGGGGCCAGATCAGCTTATCCAGAAAGCACCGTCTGAAGAAAGAAGAGTCACAGAGATGCTCAAGTTCTGCCAGAAACCTGAGGGGACCTCTCTGGCCCCAGAGCAGATTTAGTATTGCTCCAGGAACACGCAAAGAGGTAAAATAAGCCACCACATCCTCTTTGAAACGTGACCCTAAAAGGCTGGCAGTTTTGCATTAGGATATTCCAAATAACTCAAGAAAAAAGATGAAGCAATTAGCTTAGGAAGACATTTTCTTTTTAGAATAAGCTTAGGTGAGTAAGGTTGTGGGTCAAATCATCCCAAGATAAGATCTCAGACAAGAAATCAGTATTAGCCCATGTGTAGTCATATTACTGGAAGGCTGTGTGAAATACATTAGTTTACATACTGATGCAGACTCTAGAACTCAATTCCATACTTATTCAACTAAAAAACAAACAAAACATTGCTAAAGGGGAAATATTCTTTTTAAATGTTTAACTACAAAAGGAAGTTAATTTGCTGGTCTGTCAGCTTCTGTTCTTTTTTCTGCACCTAAGATAGCTGCACATCCAATGGAAAGAAATGATACATTTTAATGAGAGTCATTTCTTCTGAGGAAGAAATGAAACATTTCAAGAAACGCGAAATCTGTTTAAATCCCTTCTGAAGTCTTCAGAGACTTCAAAAGCTAAAGCTCCACCAAGATGGTTCTCTGATGGGCACAGGCTGAGTACATCAGGTACTTTGAAAAACAGACTCCATGACAGACGCCTTGTCAGCTCATCAGGGAACATCCAAGGCAAATATAAAATTTACCCAAGGTCAATGCTTCTGTGAGCAGCCTAAGCCAACCTGGCTGCTTGCAAGCTTGATCTCTCCAGTATGCTCACTCTTAAGATACAAAACTGTGTGGCATTCTTGTAGCCATTTGGGAATTTGTCTGACCCTCTTCAGAATCATTTCAGCTCTTACACCAGCTGAAAAATAACTGAGCATCCAAAGAGCGAGGACCTTGAGCCCATTTCATTGCAGGGAGAAATATACAAGGATAAGGAGAAGCAGTTTTATTTTCCCAGTGATTGGTGATAACCTGAAATGTTGTCACACAGACAGCCGAGGACATTTCAACTCTGAGAATCTCCAGAGATCACCACAACAATAGTATTATAAAATATAATCAGTTTGAGGGGAAAAAAAACTGCAAAAAAGCACAGAAAACTCAAATAAGAATAAATATATGGCCAAAAACCTTAATGGAAGCTAATAGCTTTTTCTTTTTAATTTTTTAATAGAATGATCCTTAAGAAAAATGCAGGGCTCTTTGCAAATCTCAAAATCACAACCTACCTTTAGCTGGTGGCGACTGATGAACAGCATCTTGGGAGCTTGATTTCAACAGAGAAGCTGAATTGGCCTTCTGACCTTTTCCTCTCTTCTTGCCATACTTCACTTCCTCTTCGTTATCAGACTCTGAGACCAAAGTGTCTTCTTCTCCAGGGAAAGCATCTTCCAGCGGTGGGGAATCTTCTGGCACTAGAGCCAAAGTAACTGTAGCTAACTGCTCACTCCTAGCCTTCTCTCTCTCAAACTGACGGTTCAAATCACTCTCCTCTGCAAAAATGTATGAAATATACTTGGTTGTCCTTTGCCGACCTTCATCTTCCATAAAGCCCTATGAAGAAAGTTGGAATGTTATTTCACTACCTTACTTCTCCATTTTTGCAGTCTCTTCTCCAGCATCGGTAGTGGAAATTTTTTCTAGCCGCTCTCCTTCATATAAAAACATGTCATTTTTAGTACTTTTTTTTTTTCTAAATAACAAAAATGTTGACTAACCTTAGCATATAGAAAAGAGAAGAAACACTGTTCAAAAAACACATTTATATTATCTGTGTATTAGAATGAAATGTCTAAAATATGTGGGACGCATAAAATTCTAGGGGAGAATAAACTTTACGTAGTTAGCACAGAAATCTTTTCAGAAAGTCATTCTGCAAGTAGAAGTTGATAGAACGAATCATTTTTAGGTAGATCTGCTGCTACTGTACCACACCAGGTGCTTTAAAGCATCTGGAAACCCAAATGAGCCATCAGTGAGGGAAGATTTCTCTGCAGTTTGTTTAGAAAGTGTGCTTACACATTCCTATGATTTACATTGTTCATTTGTCTTTTATTCTACAGAACTTCTTAGGAAATGACAAGATCTTAGCAAACAATTCTCTGCTGAAGGAAGATGGCAATTATCCTCCCTTTGTGGAAAGGAGTGGGTGTTTGCATGCAGGAATTTGTTCATCTGTAAGTCATAGCCCTGATGAAATGAGAAAATATTGAAATATTTGGAAATAAGGTGTTTAATTACCACAATCTCTATATATAGAGGAAGGGTATGGGTTTTGTTCAGATTTTTTTAACAGAATTAATGCTGTTTTAATATGTAAGTAGACTGATGACTTTAAATGTATAGAGGATCTCTGACAAAATCCTACAGTACAGACCAGGAAAGCAGCCAATCTTGCAAAACAGAAGTTGCCTCATAGTCAAAAATGAACCAAAATGGCTATTTAGAGTGAGACATTTATGCTCACCTCCAAAACATATTCCAGAAAATACAGGTTCCCAAATACCAGTAGGTTACCAGGGGTTACAGTAAGTGTGCTTTAGTGGTCGAGGCCCATTTGTCTGCCTTGCCACTTCTTGGAGGCTATATCTGCCCCATGGTGCTGGGAACTTTGGAGTACTGTGAAGCTGCATCTGGTACAATCCCATCCATTAGTGTAGATCACCAGAACGTGCTCTCAGTATAGACAGCAAACAGGATGCAAGATGCATTTCCTACTTCCTCCTTCAGTTCAAATTTCAACTGAACGCTTTTTGAACACTTCTGCTTGTATCTTTTCCTGAACTGAAGTCAGGATCTTCTCAATCTTACCAGAATTATTTCCATGCCAGTTCTTAAATCCTGGCTGTTTCTATTGTTTGAGATGTAATATGCTGTAACATTTCACCACGGTGACCACAGTTAAATTTTCAGTTTCAATAAGTATTGAAATTATTTTATCTTAACCTTACTTTGACAACTTTGTACCTCTCCAGAAGACGACAGAGCATCCTTGATTCCAGCTTCCCCACATTCATAGCCAACCGAAGTTCTGCCTGAGAAATGCCTTTGGTTCCTCTACTTTCAACTGTTTCAGACAAAAGAAAAAACAGAAAATACCTCTCAGAGATTCTTGGCCCAATTGCATACGCATACATCTGTATATATATGCTCACACTTGTTCTCCCTAACTATTACTAAGGCAAACTCATCTTAAAAGCTACCTGATTTTGAAACAAACATCAGAACATAATCCCTAACAGTCACTGCTAGCAACTATGTAATTTTCAGAGGCATGCACAAAATACAGGCAAACATTGTCATAAAATGCAGTGCAGCATCCCAGTAGAAGGAGATTCAAAATTAGTTTCACATTAAAAGCAAGAGCAATGTAGGAGGAAAATATTTTTCTCTGCTACACAGACAACTGAGATACAAAGAGATGATATGACTGCCCCACCACCTACAGGAAGCCTACAGCTCCAGTCTGATCAGAACATAAAGTTCTTTTCCATAAAAAAAATAAGCACGTTGATGCAGAGAAAGCATCAAACATCAAATTAAAGAAAAAACAAACAAAACAACATCTTTCTTTCTTCATACTCTATAAGGAGTATGAAGACAGCGGGAAAAATCTTCAGCATGTCTTCTCTGTGATACTTTAAGAGCCTTAGCACACAATACTGTAATTTAGCTTAATATGAAGTTAAGAACCCTTTGGCACTCCAGAATTAAGCAAATCAAGGGAAAAGTTCTGTTAGTCCTTGTAAAAGTAACAGATAAACTGCACTGCACACACAAATATTCCACTCCATCACCTACTTAGCTCATAAGCCTGGGTGAGCATATCCCTTTCACAAACAATATCCACAGGCTGAACAACTTTTGTGATCTCTTCATCGTCATCATCATGATAATCTTCCATTTTCTTCCGAAATTCTTTTAGTAACTTAAGGCAACGGACCATGACATCAGTACCTGTGGGCACGTGGGGAAGAAAAGACCAAAGACAACTGCTTATTTCTAGGAAAATGTTTGCAACAGCTTTTCCCTATATATGAACCTGTCAAAACACTGACTAGAAGCGTTCCTGACGTGCTCCAAACGTTCGTGGCTATGGTAACCTTACGACTCCCTGGTGCAGTGACTTGTGAGAGCAGTGAAGAGCACTGCAATACTGGAAAACTTTGAACGGTAAAAACAAATCAGTGCAGTGTGTTTCTGGATGTACTGAGCCACAGAATGACATCTTCAGAATATAGATCTGATTGCGAGATCCCTCACCATGTGCAAGTCCTCTTCTTCCCTCCCTCCCTACAGACTCCTATCACGTTTTTGCCTTCTATAGATGCAAACTACATAATGACAAATATGCATGCAGTACAGAAGGAAGTTATTTACCAAACACCCAGCACACTGAAGAAAAGGATCAAACAGAACAGTTAGAACAGTCCTACTTCCCCATCAGGATCTTAGAGCATAACTAAAATGTACAGCTGTTTTGTACAGTTCCAACATCGCTATGAAAAGAATAAACACGGTGTACTGTGAATACACACAATGAAAACAGACATAAAACCTCAGGTTGTGGTATTTGAGGACAGGGCACACTGCTGCCCATGAGCCAGAAGACAAATACACGTTTCAGTTAACGTGCTTAGGTAACTCTTCACCTGCTTATCCTTTTGGGATATCAAAAAAGTGGGGACATGACTTCAGCACAGTGTCAGCAGTTCCCTGATACAAAGATGATCCACCAGAGTCACTTAGCTGCTGCTGAAGCATTCAAGAGATCAATGTTTAAGGTAAACTAGAACTGTGTCACTGTGCAATGCCAGCTGATCAGGTGCAGTGCTTCAGTAGCTATGGCAGAAGCAGCCAGTTCATCCTGCAGCAGTGGGTGGGAATATCTACAACCATCTTGACTCCTCTGTCCTGCTGTTATAAATGCACAGTGAAAAGCTTTAGCTGAAATTATTGAGCTTACAATGAATGAATTCTATTTTATGTCTATATATGATGACTTACTGAAGCCTAGCTGACACCAAGTTAATCCACAGTAACTTAAACATGTGACTGAACTCCAGGCCAGATGATCCCATTGATCCCATTCTTTTTCCTCATCTGAATTCCTCCCCTGCTAGATATTGCTTAAGACAGAAATAAAGCTCTGACATTTTGGTAGGGCTGTAGGCACTGTTATCTCATCCTGTTTCTACAGTCCATTAATTTCCACTTGAAAACAAAAACAACAAGAAAAAAACCCACGTTTTTTTCTTTTACTTTAGCTCCTGCTGCTTGATAACACGCTTCCCATAGCAGATGCTATGGCTTCATTTCTATCTGCTTTCCTGTATATCTCCAGAGATCTTGAACTCTTACGAAAATCAGGTATTATTAATTAATCCTAGTTTATTATCTAGTGTTTTTTAAGGCTTTTTTGTGGATTTTCAGCTTTTACATCCGTAAGATGGAATTATCATTCAAGTTAAAGATTCACCAGGTGGCATTTTTCATGGTGAAATGTTAAGAAGTAAACGCAGCTGCTGTTGTACCAATCTGTAACAACACAAAATGTCTTCTGCCTTGTGTGCTGCCACATGTATAAATGGATATGTACCTTCTTTCCTTAAGTAAATACTCTGGAAGTCAGATGTTTAATTAACAATTATGAAGTCTATCTCTTTATAGTAGTTCTGGTCTGCCAACTTTTCTTTGCAGATGTACTGAGCTCATTAGAGCATTGCTGACACAATTTAATACAAGAGCATATACACAAATACAACATGGTACAATGCACTCCAAGAGAGTGTCAGAAAGAATCTATTATTTTTTTTTTACAGTGGCAATACAAAGTGAAGGCTCTGGGGAGACCTCATTGTGGCCTTCCAATACTTGAAGGGAGTGTATAAATAGGGGGGGAACGGCTGTTTAGGTGGTTTAGGTGAGATTTTAGGAGGAAGTTTTTCACTCAGAGGGTGGTGAGGCACTGGCACAGGTTGCCCAAGGAGGCTGTGGATGCCCCATCCCTGCAGGCATTCAAGGCCAGGCTGGATGTGGCTCTGGGCAGCCTGGGCTGCTGGTTGGCGACCTGCACACAGCAGGGGTTGGAGCTGGATGAGCACTGTGCTCCTTTTCAGCCCAGGCCGTTCTGTGATTCTATGATAAACTGTATAACCAAAAGTAAAAGGTCATACAATCCATCTATGCTGAGATGCTTCCTTAAACCAGAAATACATTAAGTACAATATATATTTGGCCAAAGTATGATGACAATTTTTCCATGTATCTTATTGAGCATCTTTTGATGCTCATCTCCACTG